AGGCGGAGTTGGAGGCGCTCCGGAGGCGGGGCCCGTGCTGCTGGACGAGGTGCTGCTGCTTCTGCCGGGTCGACTTGACCGCCAGGATGGCCTGCCGGTTTTTGTACTGCACCAGCTGCAGCGTGATCTCGGCGTTCCAGCCTTGCTCCTGCGGGCACCGAAAGTCGATCTCCTTCCCTTCGGCCATCACCACCGTGAAATACATGTACTTGCCCTTCCGTTCCACGCAGTCCACCGTCTTCATGGTGGAGAAGGGCAACTGCTTGATCTTGGCGGCGGCCACCGCCGTCTCTCCGCTGGCGGGAGAAGCCGCCGCCGCCGGCTCCTGCTTGGGCGGGATGAGCAGAAGCCCTTCCTCGGTGAGGATGCAGCGCTTCCTCTTCCACAGCTGCAGCAAGCCATCGCTGCGTTTCTCCAGCACGCCCTCCTTCACCGGCTTGCAGCCGCTCTCCAGCATCCTCCCGGCGCCGCCAGAAACTTCCGAAAGGAGTGAAAAGAAGGCGCGCGCAAAAGAGAAGCGGCGCACGGACGAGCAGGATTTCCTGGGACGCGCCTGAAAGGCTTTACCTTCTGCCTGGCGACTTCCTGCGCTCCCGCTCGTCTTTCCCCCGAACCGCCGGAGAAAGCTCCCTGCGTCCTCCCGTTGTTTTTGAAAGCGGCTTTTTCATCTCAGCGACACCGGGTTTTCGGGGGGCGGGGCGAGGGAAAGGCGGGCGGCGCCTGCCCAAGAGGCTGGGCGAGGGAAGCCCGGCCGTTTCGTCCTATCCTCCTCGCCTGTCCGCCTTCAGGGACGGAGAAGGAGGCTGTTTGCTTGCTGTCTTCTCTCTTTTCCCCTCGGAAGCCTGCAGAGGTTCCCAGTCGCAACAGCGCCAAAGAACAAAGCCTTACTCCAGTGGCAGCCGAGCCGTTCTCACTCCCGGAACTCAAAAGGGAGTCCCCCTCCGCCCTGCTCTAGGCTGGAGGAAGACCACTTTTTAGATGTCACTGGCCGCGGCAGGATGGAGGCTTGGCGTCCCCCCGGAACGTGCCGCCTGCGGAGGCTGACTAGGGGAAAAGCCAGTCCTGTTGCTCCGCGGACGCTCGCAGACACCCCAACTTCTCCCAGAAAACAGACGCACCGATCGCAAGCCCGATTCATATGCCAGTTCTTAAGACGCCACAAAAATTCGGGGGCAGGGATGCCTTACCGAACACGGAGGCCCTTCTTCCTGGTGTGTGGTTTTTTAATTATGGAAAATGCACAATATGCCAAAACAAACGAGAACCTTGGAAATGCTTGCCTGCTCCTGGGATGCCATTCACATGGGCCAGAAAACAACTATAGGATTCAGAATTTAACAAAATGTTCATGTTTCCTTTCTATTACACACTAATAGAAAAATATTTCATGCTGGTTAACAAATGATAGCATACACATAAGCTATTTCAGGGGGAAGGGGCTTACTTACTTGTCCATTACTTTTTATAAGACAACAACTACAGAATGGTCATCACTAACTTTGGTACTAAAAAAATTCCCATTGCTGATGTGATAGACAGTGTTCCTAGTTCCATGAATATAAAATGTATTTATTTTGCCTGAATCCCGAAAGAAAAAAAGTCTGAGAAGGAAAAGTGTTTATACATCCAGTAGGCTAAAAGCCAGATTACATTTCAGAGTGCTGATCTAAGAATCCACAGGCCTAAAATCTTCCTGTTTCATCACTCTCAGCAATGCCATCTTCACATGGAAATAGGCCCATTCTAATGCACTCTGATGGGTTATTCAGTAATACTAATTGGATTGAAAAAGCCATTGCTAAACTGCCATCTAGAGGACATGCATAACAGGTCATGTCGAGAGTACCGTATTTAATCTGTGTGGATTATCTGTTCATTTCCCAACTCTAAAACAGCTCAGGACAGGTAAAAAACTTTTCTTTCTCTTCCCAACTTTTAATTCATTATCTAAAGATGTCCTCCTATCCCGAATATACGGAATAAATGTAAGAGCAGAATTTGGGGAAGGGGGTTTAAATAGCACCTGCCTGCTCTAATAGTTGTAACAATGGCCCATGGCTGAAATAGCAAAGCATCCTTCCCCATGAACCACTTCTGGAATCTCCTTGGCCTGTTACTGCAAAAATGCCTTTCAATAAAGACCCACAGTAAACCAAGTACACAAGTCATTCACTTGCTCTCTACTACCTAGAAAATAAAGATTAATGTTAGCCAGCCAAACTCTTCATGGAAAAGGTAGGCTCTGAACAGGAATTTCCAAGGAAAGAATTTCCAATAGCTAAAGATTCTAGAAATAAGGGGTAACTAGAGGAGAACACTTCTGGTGAAACTGGCAAACTGGTGCTCCATGGGAGACATTGCAGCTGAAAGGCAGCTGGATGTGGGATCTAGACTGCCAATAATTCTCTCTGGATAAAAGAGAGATCTTGAGATTACCCTCATGCATTCTGGACAGCTCAGTTTTTTTTTTGGTATGTCAAAAGCAAAAACAATGTTTTTGCAGCCGCTTGCAATCAGCTGGGAGTCACGGGTTTCACTGTGCTCTAAGCCATTAATGTAGCCTTTTAAGGACTCAAAGTTCATCCAAACCCCATCTTTTTAATCACCTTGGAGTTTAATTTTTTTTCTTACTGCTTCTTTAAGACTGAAAAACCTTCAGAACCGCAAGTTGGGCATTTGCTGGGTGAGTCTCTCTTCAATCTGTTTAAAAAGAAAGAAAATTACGTGTTTCCAGCTTTGTAAGATCTTTATTTTTTGCAATATATAACAAAAGGGGGATTATAATGTTTTTTGGAAAGTTTTTGAATGCTAAGGATTTTGATGAAATTGATTTAAAGAAAGACTTTGAAGTTAATTAAAAAGATCTTCTCATGTGGAAAAAAAATGATGTTTATATTTCACCCTGATAACAAAGTTTTGAAGGTTAATCACTAGAGAGCACCAGATGGCTACTTTAAAGGAAATGTTTTATAAGCTGGCTCAAGAAATGCTTGGACTGTTTAACCCTATACTGGAACCAAAAGTTGCTATTGAAGAGAACCAAGTTCCTTGGAAGATAACCAAAATGGATTTTAAGGTGGGCTTAAAAATTATAACCTATAAGAAAGAGATGGAAATATTGGATTTACAAATGGAATTGGATGATCACTTGAAAATTTTAAAAAGATATACAATAATGTATCAAAAGAGGGATGTGGATTACCTGTTTAAATTGGAATATAAGAGGCTCACAGGAATGGCTTCACTGAAATTACATATGGACTTTGATGAAGATGACAAGGATTTCGAGAGAAGAGACAAGGACAATAGAAGAAAGCAGATGTTAGAACTTTTATCTATGGAATTCGAGGATGGAAGAAAAAATACAAAACTGGTTTATTTGATTATGGTTAAGTAATGGATTGTTACTTTTGGTGATGTTTAATGGTTATTTTGACTGGATAACTCTTTTTTGGAAATGTCCAATTGGGTGTAATGGATTAGTTTGTTATATCTGTTACTATTTTCAGTATACAAATAAGGGATTATTTCTGGTAATATGTAAGAGTTTTTATTTTTCTGTAATGTTTGTTAATTGGGATTAGACTTTATTAAGAGGATTAGGGGGATTATGTTTAAATGGAAAGGGGGACTAAATGCTTATGTTGTTAGTTATGTCAATCTTTATACCTTTTGTTTGATTAATGAGAGCTGAGGATTTAGATGGGTCTCTAGAAAATGAGGTGACGTATAGAATGAAGATGTATTTCATAGTATTTTAAGAGACTGATAAGTTGTTCATGTTGTATATACTTGCTGGGGATGAAGGGTGAAGTTTCTTTTTATTTTTGGGGGGGTATTTTCTGTTCACGTTCTTATATTTTTTTAATATAATTTTGTATTAGGTTTTTGTATTAGTTTTATCTGTTCTATATAATCTTTAATAAAATTATTGCAAAAGTAGAAATAAGGGATAGCTGGGTGAAAATACTGCTAAAAGAGAAATGTAGATCACAGTACCATAATGGAGTGCAAGATGACTCAGGGAATTTTTTCAGAGTGAACAAAATCTTGAGAGGACAAGAACTCAGTATAAAGACTTTGGAATAGAAATCACATGCTCCAAATAAGATAATTATTTTAGCAGCAGAATCTGGGATGATTAGAATGCTGTGTTCAACAGATGTTTACAGGAAGCCCAGAAATAGTTAAGGCATGAGATTACTGGAGTCTGAGTTTTTGTAAAGTAGACTGGGGGAAAGGGCTGTATTTTTGCTTTGTTGTGACAAGGCTAACTATAGGGAGAAAAGGAAAGGGAAGAAATCAAAGATAATGCAAGTTACTAGTTAAATATGGATGGAGGCATCTGTGTATTTGCTTTTTTACCTGATTGCTCTAACTACATGAATAGAACAGCTGAGATTTCCAAACAAATCTTGAATATAACTCATGTGTTTTGAAACCCCTCTCTAAATCTTTATTTTAAAAAAAACTTTTTAAGATATAGTAAAGGAAGCCATAAGCACATTGCTGGTGTCTGGTAAGTAGATGCTTTTTATGGAGAAAGTTCTTATGTCTTTAAAAATATACATACCAAAACTGCCTACAAGCAGAATTAGGTACACTTATCCAAATCTCTTTACAGACCTTATCTTTATTAACCTAAGGGACTGCATTAATATAGCATATGCTAGAAAGCCTGTTGTTACTATACTAGTTTTTTAATAACCTTTTGAAAAAAATGATCATGAAAAAAGCTGACTCATTTTCTTGTGCATGTTCACTCTCTTAATTTCAACTTATGTTTTCCTGAATTTATCTGCCTATTCTTTCTGCACCTATTTTCCGTCCTCTTTCCCCGTGTTAATTTTTTTGCTCTGCATTTTGGCTTCCCACTATTAAAATGAGTTTATTTTCTCAAGTTCAGCAGCCACAGCAAACAAGTTTCAACAAGATGGTTAAAATTGAGTGCATGCTCCACTCTGCATCTCTTGGAAAATACTGAGCCAATGTAAATCTCAAGTTGAAGGTTTTGCATCTTTCCATATTATAGTAACGGCTGTAAATAGTATTAAGAATTCCTGTGGAGATAGGCAGGCAGGTAGGTAGACCTTGTTTGCATATGTCTGTGAACACATTCATTGCATGCCAAAGATCCCTAGTGTCTTTGGAGATGCTGCCTGATATTTGCAAGCAAAGATGACATGGTAGCTGAAGTGTTGAACTGACACCTGGAAGACCCAGGTTCAAATTCACCCTCAGCCATGGAAGCTTGTTGAATGATCTTGGGCCAAGAGACAGGGACTAGCCCCATCTAGGATAATAGGATTGCAATTATTTGGGGAGGGGGGGATGAGCTATACAGGAAAGGCAGAATGTAAAATGCCCCTAAAGTTTTATCATTTCAGAAAGCAAATCTATGTAACATTCAGAAGAATCCCTGTATTTCTATTATGTGAGGAAATGAAAAACTGATACTTCATATCAAATTATGTACACAAAGATTATTGCAGTTTTATTTGTATCTTCAGTTCTATTTGACTAATGCACATGAACAGTATTAGTTTTACTAGTTCTTCAGCTTTACTGCATAGCATAGCTAATTTGATGTTAGGATACTGTAGCACACATACGCCTCCTAGTGTCAAGCTTAACTGTGTGCATATTTCTGATTTGCTTAATGTGACATACTGCTATCTCTTGAACTGCTTCCCAGTAACCCAGTTTAAAAAATCTGCTTGTGCAACTTCAAGAACTAGACCATGCAGATTGTTTTATAAAACTTCTTAATCCTTTTCCCTTAAAGTGACACATAACCATTTAAGAAAACTATCAACATTCTAGCCAATCTTAAGTGGAATGTTAGGGACATTTTATTTCTTCATAGTCCCTAAAAAAGTCAAAATCATAATTCAAGCCATTCAAGTGTGATCACATTTCAAACTATTTTAAAATATTCGAAATACTGCATGATAACCAAAGGGTGTAAAACCAAATTGGAAAATGATTTAGGGGTTTTTTTTGCAAGTAAGCCTGGAGTTGCAACTCACATCTGTTATCTTGGAACCACATGCACACTGTTGTATGCAAAACCTTTTGCACCCCAATCAAAACTGCATTTCAATCAATGTCTTTGTGAATGGATTTCTACATGGTACAAAGTTAAACGTGACATTTCTACAAATTTGAAGGTCTATGTATATTTCAAAAAAAGCAACCCATTAATATGGAGGTCCAAATTTTCAATCGGTACTCTGTAACACTTCCTTGGCAGAAATAACAGCTTCCAAGCATTTCCTGTAGCCTACGAAGTGTTTCTATTCTTGCTGTTAGCATTACTTTTTACCACTCTTCCTTGCAAACTAGCCTGGCTCAAAAATATTCTTTGGATCCCCTTGCACGCACTTATTTAAGATCTCCCCAGAGATTTTCAACAATATTCAAATCTGATGACTGTGACAGCCATTCTAAAGCCTTTCTCTTTCCTGTAAGTATTTCATAGTTGATTTGGAGGCTATGTTTCAGATCATTGCCTCGCTGAAATATCCAACCTTTTTTTTGCTTGTCTTTGATCAATGATGCCTAGATTTTCTCATACAAATATAGCAGCTCCAAGTGTTTTCTCGTATTCTCAGGTGGTAACTGGGCAATGTTATCATTTTCATCAGTAAGTCAGGGCAGAAAGGTTGCATTTACAGAAAGACTGGTCATTTTTCTATTCCCTTGACTATGCAATGATTTGACCATTCTGATTTCTGAACTGCTGAACAGAGCTATCATGCTTAGAGAACTGAAAGCTCAGCTGTAGGGTACCTGCCTTTTAACTCTGAATGAGGACATTTCAAAAAATACACAAGCATCTCTATCACAAACACGCACACATTTTCAAGTTTATTGCCAAAGAGAAAAAATGTATGCTAAAATTTTATTGCTCCTCCCATATGTGTCAGTATGGGAAGACATTTGTTTGCTCAATAACCTTAGTGTTCCAAAGATGATACCAACGTGTTAAAAAAATATATTACATCCTGTGATCCCATTGCATGAACCTGGATATTTTAAAATTATGGTTATGGTTTCTATTATTTCTTCCATAAGCCATGCGAACAGTTTCCCCCAGTTTTCAGATGATTTCTATCAATGACATTGCAATCACAAATACAAAATGGATTTTAAACTTCCAGAGCATTCGCTAAAATGCCACATGACTGGCTGATCAGTGCTTGGGTAGGAGACCATAACAGACCCAGGCCTATCAGCTAGACTAGGAAGTTAAAATAAAAAATCCCAGAAAATAACAAAATCCCTGAGAAAGGCAAAATCATAATTAGTTAAACTTGACTTGGAAACTCTAATGTACTGTACACTGTTTTAAGCATCACTGTTGCCACAAAAGTCATGTTTCTGTTGTTGCAATGTTGCTATTATTAAGGACCTACTTTCATCAATATCCATCCCCCTACAAAACAACCAATTATTACTCAAATTCAGGCCATACAGATCATCAGAGAAATAAAAACTTTTTTTCAATCAGTTTGGATAGATTATAAAGTTGAGAGTGCATTTTAGGAACTAACCAGGTATTATTTTATGAGCAATGGCTATCCAATGCTTCTCCAGAACCAAAGGACCTGTCCAAATCTGTAAACATTCAAAACAGATATGCGGGACAGTTAACTTTTCTGCAGCCAGGAGCTTCATGTATATTTTATTATTTTTTTAACTGAAGGCTGTGAATTTCAGCAGTGTAAATCCTAGGTTCCTACAGATGCAAAGAAGCTACTGGAGAGCATAATCATTATTTTGTCAGTAATTGGGCCATTCTATAGTATCACCAATTTTTATGAAACGAATCATTCCTATGTCTGTTTTTGTTCAATTCTGTCCTTTGAGTACTGATTGGAAATGTGGTTCGACTAAAGATCACTCCTTATATCTACATCCAACACCCAAGTACAGATCATTCTTTTTAGGAAGAAAATGCCTATCATTTGTTTCAGAAACCAGCCAATAATGACTCATTTTTATAAAGTCAATAAAGTTAGAAGCTCAGAAAGAGAAGGAATTATCTTAAGAAATCAAGTTATTTCTAGGCATCACTCAAGAATTATGTTAATGCCATCCCAATGGTTTGTATTATTAGGTTTTCCAGCTAGCATGACCAGTCATACTGATTGGAAACTCTGGCAGCTGTAGTCCAACACACCTAGACATAATCAGATTGCAGAAAGCAGCTCTAAGGTTAGAGCTCTAAGGTGACTTATTGCTAGACTCATTTTTATTAGCCTAAGGCAACATGTTAATGGTCTGGGAGTGGTTATGACTATGGGAATGGTTGTGGGAATTCTCCACCCTTGCTGTGAGGAGACATAGGTGTTAGAAGTGACTGAATCAAAGATACAATATAGTCAAAAAACAAAAATTTATGCAAAATGCAAGGCCTACTGGAATGAATTCATGCAGAAATACAGCCACTTGAAACATTGAAGTGTTTTGCACCTATATGTAAGGATTGTCTCCAACAGTAAATGTTTCCCACAACTTTGGTTGCTTACAAGATTTTAAAAGGTGTACACAAGTACAACTAGTTTCTGAAAATACTAGGTTTATTCACATCCCAGTGATAAACAACCTTAATATGATGTTTCTAGAGATTTTCTGTAGGTCACCAGCACAAAATACAAAAACCTAGAGCATAAACAAGCAGACGATTATGATTATTGTGGTCTTGATGGAAATTAACAGTTTATATGGAAGTTATGAAATTTGAAAATGTATTTCATTTCCTAATTAGTACGAGTCACTGCTATTTCTATAACAAAGTAATGAAGGCACAGCCAGTGCAAGCAGACTTAAACCCATTTAAACTACTGGGCCAAAAAATACTTTGGTTGGTTCTCTGGGAAAGGATCTTTTCTAAACAAATAGTGGTCCGTCAAGAGTTCTGATATCTTCACAGCTGCAGTCTAATAGCTACATGACAACAGACTTCACTAGAACCAAACTATATATAGCAATGAATTAACTATTCATGCTTTAGGATTTACTGCATTCTACATATTGGCAGAAAAGTACTATTAAAATGCTAGGTACAAGGAACCTACATTTTAAACTGGTTCTGTCAGTTTGTTTTAACAAAATGTTTACTTAATTCTACCAAGATACAAAACATAAGGCTGTAAGTAACTAATAGTTGTATTTAGGCTATTACAGTGCAGATATTCCTCAAGGCCACATACACACTGTTTCACTGCTGCTTGCATTCTGCTGGGTTTTGATCCTTCTGTTGAAGAAAGAAAAGGAAACATCAGTGTCATAACAGGTCTGCTACAGGAATTTACAGATTACAGGCAATTACTCTAAATGTAATTATTCAATAACATACGAATTGATCACATACCTTTGGGTCATAATCTGGATCATTTTCTTCATCTGCTTCTTCCTCCCCTTCCTGAAACACACGTGTATGTAAGAAATATATTTGGCCATGTACAGCAAGACTGAAAGTCCCTTCAGATACTTCCTTCTATACCTTTAAGCCCCTGAAATCATTTAATTTATTAATGCTTCTGAAACCCACAATAAAGCTTACCTCATCATCAGCTTCCTCACCTTCTTCATCATACTAGAAAATGAAAAAAAAAAAGAGCAATCAGAAGTACATCAGCTCCAAGAGCACCACAATTTTTAGATAAAAGCCTCAAACTAATGCTGTTATCCTCTGTATGCTTATTTAGCAGCTAGTCTTAAATCAAAATTGAGAACCTATGGACCTACTAATGTTGATGAGTTACAGTTCTCAACAGAGTTCATTACTAGTCATGCTAGTGGGGCTGCTGGAAGCTGAAACTGAGCAATATCTAAAAGGCAGCAGGTTCCCTCTGAGGTCTTAAGTGAAGGCAGGACTTACTTCAGAGTAAATACATATAGGATCTTTTGCAGGGTGTTGATCTGAAATGGATCTTTTCCTATTATCATTTTTGAATGAGATTTAAAGGCTTGAAAATAAAAATAAATTCAAACATATGATTCAAGCTAAAATATGAAATGTCCTATTTTCAACACAAGGAATATTAGCATATCCTTCACTCTAAGGGATAATTTTACTTTGAGGAAATCTCCAGTGGCTTTTAAGTTTTTGAAGCGAAAGTGGTATCACAACTGTTAGGCTGAGCACAGCCCGCAAGACAGTACAGTCAATGTTTCTCTAAGGTCTCTGCTCTTTCCAAATGTTTCTCCAGTGTGATTATTCAGTTAGAATTGATGCTTGTTATAGCAGAAGTTTGTCTGCAGTTCTTTTTAATGGCTGGTTAAAGCTTATCTTCATGCTAACAGGCCTGGCATCTCTCACGCTGAAAGAAAATTTTAATTCCTCCCAGGGAAAGGCACTAGTCATTCAGAATCCATTTTTATATTGTGATATGGTATACATCACAAGAAGGCTGAGCGCCGAAGAATTGATGCCTTTGAACTGTGGTGCTGGAGAAGACTCTTAAGAGTCCCCTGGACTGCTAGGAGGTCAAACCAGTCAATCTTAAAGGAAATCAACCCTGATTGCTCATTGGAAGGATTGATAATGAAGCTCAAGCTCAGATACTGGTCACCTAATGCGAAGAGAGGACTCTTTGGAAAAGACCCTGATGCTGGGAAAGATTGAAGGCAAAAGGAGAAGAGGACGGCAGAGGATGAGATGGTTAGACAGCATCACTGAAGCAATG